AAACATGGAGAATGTAGCGAAAAATTAGGGCTCAGACGGGAATCGAACCCGTGACCTCTCGCACCCGAAGCGAGAATCATACCACTAGACCACTGAGCCATATGAYCTACAATCAWGGTGTAAAATGTTGTATTGTTTTGTTTTCATGGATGTTGCGCTTCAATAATTCACACACGTGTTGTAGAGCTCTTACTTCAAAACGATATTTTAGATGAAATTTATAAGTTTTTTTCAATTTTAGCTGTCCCATCTTAACCTTTCTTGCAATAGACAAGTTATTAGCATGTCTCTATGGAGATTTCTAAACTTTAAGTGAATATTTTGGTTGAAATTAACAAGTCAACACTTTTCAAGATGGCGGCACGTAATTTCGAAATAGACCTATACTAAAATTGCCTATGATTTGGAGAGGGATTCAGATAGATTACTTAGTAAGTACTCACCGGATTTCTGTACTTATTTTTAATTGACTTATTCAATGTTGAAGAGTATTCAATATTGAGGGGGAATAAACCTCGTTGGCCGCTACYGAAAGCTAAAATCTCGCACCGAATMATTGATTGATATAACCATTAAATTACCTTAATCTTTTAAAGATGAATACAATTTTCAGTTTTTCAATCCCATAAACTTTCTGCAATCCTGCTTCCAAGAATTTCATTTTACAAGTTTGTGTGCGGGCTTCCTGTGTGATAATGTTGATGTGCTCATGGTAGTATAGGATCTCGATTTATTTAAACGCACATGCAATATGGAAACTTATTTGAAGTGGGACGGAAAATAAGCAATATCTTTTCCTTAACCGACACCAAACACGTCTGTTTCCTTCTTTTTTCCAACTGCCATTCTTCCCATTTAGTCATCCTATATTTCTACATCAAACTACTCATCTTAGATACTTTTTCATCTCTTGGTCATTTAAACTTATGAGTTTCCTTTTTATATTTCATTTCACGTTTCTTATATTTCAGGTGGAACGACGCAATGGAYATTCGGAGCCGATTTTCTAGTCATATTGTCCGATATTTTAAAATTGCAATTCTTTCGGCACTAGCAAATAACAAAAAGTTTCAAGAAATAAATGGTCATATGTTTCTGTAAACTCTTAACCTTATGCATAATTTTTTACCATCATTTTATTGTATCACAGCCATTTCTAAGTTATTCGTTTGCACGATAACTTTTCCCAGTGGTGTAGCTCGTGGATATCTGATCATAATAATCTTGTGGATTGTAATCCGTCAATTTTTTTAAAACCTGAATCATGTGACTTTTCCCGCCTTTTGGCGGTCAAGTGGCATACCATGTCACGCGCTTTGGTTTTGTCATAGGTACTCATTCAAACGAATACGTTACTAGACACTAGGAGCTTGACTAAGTACCGTCCTTTGACCTAAACTACTTTGTTTTGACATAACTGCATCGGCCACCATAATGATGAATATTTAATCTTCTCAGTAAAAAGTTTTCTTTGTGATACTACTTCACCTTAAGACTTTTRATTTAATTTCACATATCCAAAAATATTTTCTTTATAGTGGTTTCCGGACTATATACTGTGTGTAGCTTGTTACATAGCTTTGGTGTTAATTAAAAGAAAAGTTTGTAATGTGAAAATAAGTGAACCCAAACGACCGGTGTTGTGTGGGCTTGACTAGTGACAGGTGACAGTATAAAAATAGAGTGTTAACCCCCAAAATTAACTCCAAATTTCTATTTTTCTTCTTATTAAACGACACTAAAATATAATGCTGTTATTTATAAGAAGGTATTAGAAATATGAATTCGTATTTTAGTCGAGAATACTTCTTTTGTGCGATTTTAGTGAGTTTTTGATCTTTGCTGGAGTTGTCTCATCTATGAACGCGAGGGACTGGTACCTACCTGGTATCGCCATGGATCATTGGATTGGAATGTGTCATCCCATGAAATAAGACTTGCTGAGTGAACACGTCAATAACATCGTACGGTAACTTTCCAAAGTCACTCTCGGGGGCTTTCTGGATTTTTGAACGTGTTTTTCAAACACTAGGGTAAGTAAATTTTTCTCCTTTTGCTTGYTTTCAATCTACTAATCTCATTATCAAATGATATTATTACAAAAAGGCGGTTGTTCAGGGAAGGGACCGATCTCTTGGACTAATTACTTGAGAGACAGTCTTTATTAAGTGTTGTTCCACCGCTAATGAAAAACCGCTTTTTAATCACCTTTTGGGCTCTAATCCTTTAGTTAGCAGTTAAAAAAAGTACTCTCTGAGGATAAGTGTATTTCTTGGAAACAGTGGTGTATTGTTTGTTCCCTATGGCGCATCTGAGGGGTTGTGATTCCATTGTCTTCRAACTGACCGCTTCTTGTATTCTTTAGTAAAAATGAAGAGCTTCTTGGTGCTCTTGGGACTCTTCTTTACAGGTAATTGATGCTCTTACTATTTTAATTGAATATCTAAGATTCAACAGCTTCCAGACATATCTAAAATGAGTGCTTAACTTATGGCGCCGCAATTAGGGATCATCCGAACCTTTTTTTAGTTTATTGAAAGCTTTTAATGATACATTTTGCTGTCAGTTTTGTGTGATTTACTTGTAAGTAGAGTCAATGGCCGTTGTTTATCTTAATATGTTATAAATGTTGTAATGGTTGTGAAGTGTGTGTTCACTGATGCCATTCACAGTGTCATGGACATGTCATTCTTATACTAGAATATTTTGTCCTATATTTAAAACAACTGTATCCTTATGTATGGCTGTTTATTTCACATCAGTTTCAAAGATATCAACGGATAATGCTATATTATGAAATGCATAATTTCATTCCCGTATCTCGCAGCTTTTTRCGCTTCAATATCCTTTTTAACRAGTACTTGTGAATAAATTCACCTTGCGCTCGATAATGATTATTGTAGGCGGCGGTTACGACAACAACTGGATGAGCATTTCAGTTAGACAAGTTGAATTTTGCTTAAACCGCAACTGGTACTTGATATAATAACCTAAATTGTTTTGATCAAACAWTATTCAAAACACTTGCCAATTCAATTCTTCCGCCAAGGGAATTGTTGAGTTGAAACCACTGGTTCGAGACCCCCTTGAATAATATAAATAAAGGTATTGTCAGATGGCTGAATGAGTAAAGATAATTAAACTATGATCTTCATCCAATATGGCGCTCATAACATAACGATCAGCCATAGAGATTTCTTGGAAATAATTAACGTTGCATTTTCATCTTACGTTTTGTCTAACGATCCAGAAAGCGCGTAACAATAGTTTCACTGGCTCAGGATGTTTGCGCTTATGCGCCAATGAATATCGTTSTTCGTCGTAGGTCGAAAGTTAAACGCGTGCACAGATTACGAGATTAAAACGCGTCGAATTATTTCCCTAAAAAGTTTGTTAGTCCCACGAACACTGGCACGCGTCTATTTTGGCAGGTTTTATAAGAAAGTATAGTGTTCTATAGAAAATCGTTTGTTGAGAAGCTGTTTTACGTATCAAAGAGTTAATTTATAATAACGCTCCATATTTAGTAGRGTATGCTATTGGTCGGACTTCCATATTTAGTAAGAATTACCAATTTAGTAGGGATTAACTTGTTTGTTTTGTTTCAGTCCATGCTAATACAATTACAAAACGACAAAATGCACCAACATATATCCCTCGAGGAGGATCTTTGCCACAAGATAGTAAGTATGATTTTTTTATACTCGTAAAGATGAGAAATTTTCAAATATTGCTTAAGGGCCGCTTGTGCGAAGGGTCGATGGCGATATTTACTGAATAGATCCTTATCCAGTGGATATAATCCATGCAAAATCTCAGTATTGAGTGGATAGCTTTATCCCGTAGATTCTCCGTTCGTAGAAYCGGCTACTGTTCGATAATTAAGAAATATAAAGCGGCGCGCGTGTCTCTGTCCTCTGATATAAACACGGTCGTCAGCCAATCAGAACGCGTGTTGTATATCAAAAATTTCGTACTCTATTAGACTTACCACAAGCTACACTCTTCGGATTCAAACAATCTTATGTCTAAATTCATGTCAGCTGTGTACTAATGATAAATGTATATTTCTAGAAAGAAATGTCCTCACTTTGGAATTCAACGATACTGCTGGCAACACAGTATCAGACTCATCGGGATATAAAAATAACGGCTACCTAATGGCAGGCGCCATTTTGGTAAACTTCAAGAACGGTAAATGTGGTAATGCCGCATATACTTACTGTGGAGATATCCTGTTTCACGGGGATACATTTCAAGGCAAGCCCTATGAAGGAGTGACTATCTGTGCATGGATTAACTTGAAGAGCGTAGAGGGTAGTCATTCCATTTTTGACACCATTGGTATGACCCACTCTTGTGGACAATACCACTTTGAGGTGATCAATGGAATGGTCAGATGGTTTCATCGTAATGAAAGCCAAGTCACCATCTTTTCAAACACTGCTGAAGGACTAATGGTCAAACCAGGTTTGTTCTGTTTTTGTTGTTGCTGCTGCTGCTGTTGAAAACTTTTTCATTTTCTTCTGCTTCTGCTTATTTGAAAGAGTGTGCACCGAGACATCATAAGCAGAAGAACATGCTTCTGTCAAGTGTGAACAAGCTCCTGCTTTAGTTTCTGCTTATGTCACAGTGCGAACCGGCCCTAAAAAGCATTCTCGTTGCCTTTTTCAAAACGCTTTGAAAGTATTTGTCTGTGCCGCATTTTTGCCCTAATTTTTCATGTCATTGTTTGCTGCGTTCGCAGTTCTGTTGGTGTGACTCGTAGTTTTTTTTATTGAATTTGAAATGACGATTTTGATCGTCTTAACAGATACATGGACTCATGTTTGTGGTACATATGATTCCGCCTCTGGAAAGTCCAAGATTTACATCAATGGTATGCTTCGTAACATGACCATTGGAAGTGGTTATCTATCACGTGACTGGGTAGCAAGAGCCGGTATTGGTGACCACAAGGCAGCAAGACCTCTTATGGGATTCATCGATGAATTCAAAATTTATAACTATGCTTTGGAAAGAAAAGAAATTGTTGCACTTGTTAACAAATGTGSCTTTTTACCAAAACGTAAGAATATTACTATGAAATTATATCTACCATCTGATCATGAGTTCCTCTCATCATCGTTTTACCATCATGATAATCACAACCATCATAAATATACTTGTCTCATGCGACTCGAACGTTTTATGACGTAACACTACTCTTTTTTGTATCATCATCAGCAATCTCTGACGAGCCAAGCATTGCATCACCCAAGCCATTCCTTTTCGATTTGACCCAGCCACAAACACCAGACAACGGCGTTCCCATTGATGCTGCAGCAAGAGCAGATGATTACCTTCCATTGAAGAAACCTGCACCAAAACCACACGCTAATATGGASTCTATMGAAGAGGCTGTCCTCAAGAGATCTAAAGTCCACCACTAGATCTTCCAAAACAATCTAGCTYGTTCTAGAACATTCTATGAATTGAAGGCCATTCTTAACTTAAGAATTTAATTGTTCTAGAATGTTAAGATCTTCCAGAACGCTCCATCTGTTAAGATCGTTCTTATATTTAGAATCTAAGTCGCAATGTAGATTATTCTAGAACGTTCCATCTCTTCTGACCATTCTTAAATTAAGAATTGAAGTCTAAAGCTTTTTGTATGCGAGCAGAAAGGCGTGTTTTAATACCATTGTATCAATGGGTGCTGTCGCCTTAAGTCACAAATGTTGTAAATGTTCATATCGATGTGATCTTCGGATTATTTGTAAATCTGTATTTTCTCAAAATCCGAGGAATCCCCAATACGAAATAGAACTAGAGGTCTTCTTACAAAAAATATGTACAGATTAAAATGCGTAGATCACGAGTAATTTACGAGACATTATCGATTAGATCAATCATTTATTGATTGCTTCAATGTAAATTTATTTCTCACATCCAAGGGTGTTTAATACTTACAAAAATAAAATTAGGGAATTATAATTGTCTATATATTTATTTGTATATATTCTGTTGCAGCAGTTCTCGCTTCTTCCCAGAATCTCCAATCCCCTTCTTTCCTTCCTTCCATCCTTCATTCTTTTAACTGTCAATTCTTTCACAATTTATCTACTTTTATACAGTTCTTTGTTTGGGAGAACCCTATAAAGCTATTCATCTCACTTAGTAGTATCGTACATACCTTTTTACTTGCAATAGCCTCCTAACCTAACAATATTGCATGTCTACTATAAGAGCTATGCATTTGTAGCAAAGTGATAGATAATTGCATTTAATACAGTAATTGCTTATTGTTTAGTTAGATCTATTAAGACGAAAACTAGTTCAATGTGTTGCACACTTTATTTGATTTGAACTGTACTCGATGGTTGAGTCTGAAATGATATATAGGCATGTTTTAACGAGCGAGCAATCGCTATTCTAATGCTTTTGTTATAGTCTAACAGAGAGCAGGCGCGGCATGTGTTTCCATGACTATTTTGATCGAATTGGCTTCTGGGAAGAGGGATTTGAGAGGTTTTACTGTTAATAGTCGATTTTCAAACTCAAAAGAATCAAGACGAGGCGCCGTGCGTAAAGATCAGTCATTGTAAAAAAAAAACTATTATCTTTCCACGAATGACTGAGCTTTATGCACGGCGCCTCGTCTTGATTCCTTTGTGTGCGACTACTGAGGCAAAACTCGCACTGATGATCAGTGTTGCCCCTAAATCTTAATTTCACAATTAATTTATTCCACCCATCTTGTTACGCTAGTAATTTYTTTTTGTTAACTCTTGTTTTACCTGCAAAGCAGGTTATTTTGATTCGTATATCAGCCTATAACATCTCCTATATTTAAAAATATTTTTAGAGTGTACCTTATGGCCATAGTATTTTGAATAAAAGAAAAAACACTAACAAAACTTTACATCAAGCCCTGGTGGCGCAATGGATTAGCGCATTGGACTTCTAATTCAAAGGTTGTGGGTTCGAGTCCCATCCAGGGTGTTTTTTTTTGTTCAACAGAAATATCCGAGGAGGAATCAAATTAATACATACGACAATAAATATCTAAGATAAGCAATTTTTTCTTATAGTAATTCTTCAGAACAAATAGTAACTGTGTATTGAACAACAGGGGCGTGTGTAGGCCTTTCTTGATGAGGTTTGGAGCTTTCTTTTGAATACTTTTGGTGGGAAAACGAGAAGATCAATGAAGTCGCACTACACGCTGTACATGCTCCTGACGCTTTAATATCATTCACTGTCATAGGAGCTTCTGTTTTTATAATTTATTTAAGAMTTTTGTATTTTATCCAAAAAATCAATGTGATGTACACTATAACACATTCTTATTCACGTGACCAAAATTTTTAAACCAACTGTCACGATGTTTGATCACGTGGTTCGTGATCACATGATTGGCGATGATTGTTTAGGTTTCTTCGCCGTGTTGAGACGTTCCTCAACTCTCTGACAGTATCGCTTGCTGCGGCATTTCCAAACATGTCGATCTTTCAAACTGTCATMTTTTTGGCAGTTTTAGTGATACAGGATGGACACCCTTGGCCTACAAAGCTTCAACAAAGTRAGTCACCATACAATAACTAATAAATGTTAGTAACCATGGCTTATATTAGGRTAGCAACTCTGTAATTGACTGGGTTAAAGGAAGGTTTTTCTACTCGCTCGCTCGATCATTGTSTTCAGCTGSCTACTTTTCTTTATGCGTGYCCTTGTTTCAAAAACAAAACGYAAAAATACTTTGTTTTTGCGGTCACTTTATAAGTGTGATTTTCTTTATGTGTGTGTCGCGTTCATTAATTTACTGATGGTTTATAAGAGTTATAAGAAAGATCAAAGCCAAGTGYAAAAATTCAAAAATACTCGCAAAAATAAKTGGCGATATCATAGATTTGTAGTCTACGGGTCAAAATCGATGAGAATATGCCAGGTTTCTTATACCATACAATCATACTTTACTGAAACTAATTGAGCATTGATCCCTCCTTTTTAAGCAAAAGATGCGCGCGAAGTAGAAATAAACTGAGAGAAGTGTCTTWCAAATCTTTTATTGTATCCCAGTGACTTCGGTACAAATGGTCAGGTGCATCTAATATAACAATAACCAACATTAATGGATGTTATACATGAAAATTATATCACTWTAACCCTTGATTAATATCTTTTTATATGTTAAAATACGTTTAAAGGATTTTGAAAGTAGGAATATTTTTGATTTGAGGAAATGGAGTATTTCTTTCCAATTTGTCCCGACACACTAAGACTGAAAACAGTAGTCGGAAGTCATAAATATTTAACTAAGATGCAAAAATTCTCTATACTCGAATACAACAGCATTCACAGTATCTCAGAAATATTGTAAATAACATTTTTGATTATGAAATCCTTAATTAAAAATATGAGTTATGAACGTGCGGCTTAAGAGGATATTTATCGTTTCACGAACTCGCGCATCATCAGTCTTTCCTTACATTTATTATCATATCAAGTTTATTCGTAGTTTATAGAACGGAAGTTCAGTAATTAACGTTCCATTCAAATCGATCTAAGTATTAATCGAATTTCACTTGCGCGTTGGTCCATTAACAATTATTATTTTTCTCAAAATATCACGGAATTCAATACCACGTTTCTAGCTTTTAAATCCGTCTATTTTGAAATGCGGTAAAATTAAGTKCCCTCCTGTTTCATATTTTAAAGATTAAAAAAACTGTATTTCAGTAATAATGTATCTAGGGCAACTTGATTATTTCACCTGTTTCGGCGTTAATAGAGCTCTTCCCCACTGGGAAGAGGAGGAGCGTCGGTGAAAAGTTTAAATTTAAAGGAAAAAATCTTTAATTTAAGTTTACCTCAGATAAATTTCATAAAAAATTGCTTGCTGTATTATTTACATAGGCCGCACAGCTCCCTTTTCTACTTTCAAATGAGATATATAATCTAAACGAAGTCTTCAATGCCATCATGAAGAAAATCTTTTCAGTAACTTTTTACCATTTGCCATGGCTTCAAAATATCATAACAACTAAACTAGTAATTGTCTTTGAGAGCGGAAATGACAAAACCATGGTTTCATTTCATAAGATCAAAATAGACACGATCCAAAAAAAATCAACTTTCATTGAAAGAATTATTCTTCGCAAAATTCCGGATGCAACGCCTGCTAATCAAAGTCTAGTCGTGAATCAAGCAGAAAGAAATCATAAGTTCATATCTTACAGACCATTGCAAATCAATATTGGTTCAGTTATGTTTTGCAATGTTCTTATCAATAAACTAAGACAATTCTCTTCAAACAGAAGRRCCTCCTGTACAATGAAAAGGAGGATTTTTCGAGACAATATCAAGAAAGCCCTGAAAAGTTGTTGGTTTAAATCCACAATTAAACACCGATCTCAGTCTAAGATAGCACTCGGAAGGCACTTACTATACCAACTCAAATTCTTGTGCTTAATGCACCTAAACTAATGTAAGCAGAAAAAAAAACTATGGAATCTTTCCTAAGACTAAAGATTAGGGAAAATATAGTAAGAAAAATTCAAATYATTTCAATCATAAAATTTTAAACATAAAATCAAAATAATTATAACTTAATGAAAGTATGGTGAGACTTTTCATTATTTATTTCGCACATTCGGTGTTAGCCAAAGAATTATAATCTTTGCTTGAAATATGAATAAAAAGCCCGTAGCTAGCACATCAACTCGTGGATGGCMGGCCAAATTGATGTTTAGAGTCCATTTCGCTTAAAAAAGGGTTGTTTCGCTAGAGATGGAGTTTCATGATATTCAAATATTAAGCATAGATCATTTTAAAAAAAACAAGTTATATGTACATAATTACTTTAGTCTAGTCTAAAAGTTGTAATATATGATATTTTTGTTTTGTTTTAAGGGGATGTGGATCTTATGCTTAACGAGAATGCTGAGAGCAACAAAGGTGAWTTGCGAGACAAAAAAGACTTCAATCCAAGTGTAGAACAGGATTTGGAAGAGTTACTCCATCAACAGCCAGTAGAGAAACGTTTTTACCTTGAGGATGAATTAAAYAAATTACTTAACCCAGAAAAACGAGAAAACAGCAAAATAAGCGAAAAAAGAAATGGTAACGAAGAGAGGAAAGATGAACAATTGCGTAATTTTCTTATGCATCCTATCAGAAATCACAAAARAGAGGAAAAGCAACTGAATGAGCTCTCAAAGCCTTTTAAGAAAGAAATTTCAGAGCATCCTGCAGCAGAGAAGAAGAAAAATTTMGACCATAAAGCAATTCGTGGTGAGGAGGAAACTTCCTTGGTCAATCACGACAAAGAATTGCGAGAGAAGGATAATCATCCACATTCRCATGAGCAGAATCTTCATCATCTTCGTTCATCAAAGGATGAGAGACATGATGYTCGTCCACCAATTAAAAAGAAAAGCAGCAAAGATGACTACCAACAACACTATAAAGAAATCCTGAGGGAGCTTCATCCACCACAAGAAGACGAAGAGGAAGAAAGGGAAGTTCATRGTTCGGTTCAAAACGACAAAAAAGAAAAAGAAACGTCTCAAGAGCATCAACAAAGGAAAAGTAACAAAAGGMATGATGATCACAAAAATGGATTGCGAGAGCTCCATCCCTTTGGAGAAGGCCAACATTTAGAACGAGAAATTCATCCTCCAGGTGGCCACGAAGAAAAAGATGATCGAGAGAATTCTCGCTTGATTCAAAAGAAAAGTGACAATCACAAAGAAATCTTGCGAAAGGTTCATCMTTCAGAGGAAGGCAAAGAAGATGAAAATGTAAGGGGCAACGAAGAAATGAAAAAGAAGGAACATAGCTTTCTATTTTCAGGTCATAAGAAATTCGATGAGGATGACATTAAAAGTCATAAAGAGGATCACAAGCTTCTTCCACAAAGGGAAACTAACTCGAAACTAACTCACAAGCGTGAGCCTCGAGAGGCCATGAAGGATGACTTTTCAGAAATGAAAATAGCCAAACGCAATCTCCAGTCTGAAAATGATGAAGAGCAAGATAGAAATATGCTCGAGTCTTCRATAAYAAATCAAGAAAAACGCCAACGATATTGGACSTCGCMKGAAGAAGACTATGGCAGAGGCAGTGAGAAACAAAGGAGAACAAAGGAGATTCTTCCCGGAGAATTMGAAGAAATGCCWCAGTTAGACAGTCAAACACCATTTTACGAGAGAGATGAAACGGTTAACGAAGACCGTTCTTTAGATGACGAGGGACTACAAGATTTCCAGTCCCGAGCTGAGGGAAGWGACCTTCACCGTTCAGTTTTTGAGCGACAGGAAGACAATGGTGATTAATATTTATCATTTACTATTTATTAGACGTAATGAGTTGATTATGCTCGAGTATGTGATAAAATGCATGATGACGATGATAATGTTATGTAATGTTAATAATATTKTTCTTTCCTTTTGCGTGTCATCTTAGTTTTTACTTCACTAGTTTGTGATTTTTTTTTCAAAAGATTTCACCATAGTTTATGATTTCCCTTGGCGGAAGTATTTTCTCTTCAATAAATGATGCAATCAATTTTCAAACACAGATCAAGGTCATGAGAGTGAAATGGAGGACGACGAACCAGATGAAGAAGAACGAACATATGRTTTACCAAATGTACAAGAAGAACAACAAGACGAASCAACAACAAATGAACAAAACGATATWGTTGAACCTTCCCAACTCGAACCAAATACTATTTACCAAGAYGAATACGATGATAGCGAGGAAGAGTACCAGAAGAAAAGGCGTTTACTGGCTAGTTTAGAGTTAATGAGTCTTATGGCCAGAAACAAAGATGACCCGAGTGATACAGTACTTGGCAGCCAACCATTTTTCAATGAGGATACAAATGACGGAACGAATATCAAGAGAATTTCTCCCCCTCTTCAAATTCATCGACGTTTTAAAGATTTTTCAATGCCGAGACGAAATGCCGGCATCGAACCATTTGTGGAACCAATGCAACCATTCAACCAAGACGAAATGTCCGAAGTTCATGCCTTCGAAGATGAAGAAGATGGCAGTTTTAGCCGAAGAGACAACGCGCAAAATGCCTATAAAATGGAGAGAGTAAAATCGTTGTGTGATAGATGTTGTTCCGTTGAAAGGTAAATGCAGGTCTAAAAAGGCTTCTTAAGTTCTAACTTTGCTAATCCCGAAGAACARCTTCCCTACCTCCTACTTTCTGCATTTCCCCTTCCCTTTCCTTCCCTTCTTTCCCTTTCTCACTTCTCTGTGTCTTTTCTTTCATTCTGTCTTACTTTCGAATACGCTCATGTTTTGCTGCTCCTATGTTCCTTTATTCATTCACTAGCTTGTCCGTTCAKTCCATTTGCATTTTCTTCATCCCCCTTCTCTCTGTCTCTCTGTCTTCCTCTTGCATGTGTCCTCGCTCAAATTTCTCTTATCTCGTTTATTTGTCCACAGATTCATCCATCCATCCATCTATCCATTCACCTCATTTCATGTTCAAACATTAATCCACCCAAAATATTTAGATCTGTCAATATSTGGACTAATTCACATTTTGTGACCAACTAGGTGTTGGATGATCGACCAATTACACTGCGATTGTTAACATCAAGATACTTAATTCTAAATTCTTTGTTGTTGTTTGCTTGTTGTTRTTTGTTTGTAGTTTTGATTTGAAGGATTTTTATACAGGAACAATGAAGTAAATGTGAGAATAACTATTATATTAAATTAACAGTAATGTGAAATAGCAAATGATATTGACTTAGTAGAATATTGACTATAAAAAATACGGAGAAAATGCACTATAGTAAAATAATACCATAAAAGAAAAACCCGTGAAACAAAATGTAACAGTAAAAATGTAATATTGTGTGATTCACATAAAAGATAAAGACAAGCGTACAAAATAAATAAAGATGAAGTACGCTTAAATGTATTTCACGGATTTAGGGAAACCGCTTTACAAAGATGTGAAATGTTTTTCCTATACAACAGATATCGAATGATWTTCATCACCCTCCCTGAAAAAATAAAARGCAAGTGATTACTCCGGTCAGTAATTAAATAAACTCCAAGACATTTTACCAGTTCGTTTTATTCGCGTTATCGTGGTCGTTTCTAAGTTCATTTATTTGATGTTTGTTTAATGCATGGATACTAAAATTAAACTTTAGCAAAATATRCCKTGCTCCGCCCTTTATAGACCTTTAGATTCCCCAGGATRTTGCAACGACTTGGGCTCCCTRTGGGATCCCTACCCGCAATGGTTACTGGTTAAAAATGATTGATCTAAAATGGCCGCTAATACCATAACATAACCCTACCGATTTTTATCGTTATACATAAAAAACTATCACTTATGTTGCATGGATAAAACMTTTTTTTCAGTTTTAAGCAAACACCTCAGTCTCGTATGGTATCCATCTAAAAGCTCTATAAAGGACGTTTGTTCTTACATAGCTTATGATCACTTAAGAGATACAGTATATACATCTAAGGTTAATGTCGATCACCCCTAACATCAGCACCCACACACTGCCTACCTTAAAACTGTTGAGAATTAATGATAACATAATGTAATAATTAATATATACGAAAGCGTCTTTTCCTTGAACCAGCATGTTTATAACATTGTATTCCTGTTTCAAAAAATACCAGGGGAAGGGGAGGGGAATCCATTGGTGCATTGGACACTCCCTAACGTCGCTAATTTCACACGATWATCGAACTCTTTTGATGGAACACTTCCTATTTCGTCATGACAATWACAGACTTACTGGTTTTGTTGTCATACATTCACCGATTGATGGGCGTCAAAGAATCTAATTGCTGAGACAAAAAAAACCCTGTTCCTTGCTGTTGAAAATATTAAACTAGCGACGTTTCACAACAACAGTGAGCGYTTTCTTGTTTGATCTTATTACCGCGTGCACGTGTGTAGATAGTGCTGATGTAAAGTTTGATCGACAAAAGATACACATACATAATGCATTTTGTCATCTTTCATTTAGTTACATAATGTACATTCTATCATCAATTTAGACTAATTGGTTTTAGACTCTTGACAATTACTTCAGCTTTTTCTAAGGACTAGCAGTGACAAGCCACTGGTTTGATGACCTTGCTACACCTGTTGATACGAATTGATTCGAAGAAAAATAGTAAATACAGTACATTAYATATACGTTGTAACTTGTTCAGTGTGAACTAAAATTGGCATATATATGATGAACAGCGTTATTTGAAAATGTAGCTGTAACTTTAAATCGAAACCAGAGAGCCTTAAGACTATCAGTGACAGATATATTCGTTTGTAGCTACGTTACAGGATATATCAATGACAAGGATAACTATCTTTGCAACGGTTCGCTGATAGACCTAATCGACTAACGGGTTACCACCCAATTCAAATGCTGTGTGAAAAAGAACTTTTGTTTCTAAGAATTGCCATAAACTTTACAAATGTAAATCACTCCAACATAATGATTTTCGTACGTACAGACCGGGGACTACCAAGAATAGTGAAAACTAGTTTCGTTTATTAAAACCTCTTCAGTTCACTATATGTTTTACAACAGAATTCAACTGTGAAATAAAAATACAGCGAACATTGAAACGTACTCCCGGGTAATTTGAATTGGGTGGAAACTTATAGCAACGACTTAACCGATTTGGTCTATTGTGTTGCTTTAAGGCACGGCTTCCTATTAAGTAGGATTGCGATGTGAGTTACTTCGCTGCCTTAACTTACCACCAGGCCGAACAACACGCCCTGCAACCATTTCCAGGTGCTGCTCGTTTGGAATTCATATCGGCGAATTCAAGGCCATATCTGTATCTTCTGGCCATATCATTTTCTCGCTTTGCATATTTTTCTAGTAATGCATTAACTGAAAAAGAAACGGAAAATCATCAATTTTGCAACGAAAAAATGAAGAAGATTCAATATAATCATGTAATTATGAGAAAAAGGTAGTTATGATTATAAAAAGACACGATAGACTATATAGTGTTATAGTGTAATAGCTAATGTTAAAGGTATGTGTTCTCATACAAATATAAGGGTGACGCAGCTTTTAWAGCATTATTCCATTTATTCCTGTCAAAAAAGCCGATGAATTGAACATTACAATAATGATACTGAAGAGAAGGTTTCAAATCTATCCAGTTTAGTTTGAAAACCATRTTTTCCGAGTAGATTTTKGTAATATATTGTCAGACCACAACAAAGAAGCGTCCTTTATGAGTTCGCCTTTTATTTGRCTAATTTCATTAATCKCAAAACACTTTATATGTTTAACTTAATTGAGAAATAACGGCGGAGCTTCRTGTGATGTGAGTCAGACTTTGCACAGAGTCGGAAGCAGGAAGTAAGGAAGCAATAATGAATATTGTTGTCCCATATAGAAATACATTAAAATTTTACAAAATTAATTAAATTCATTCTATTATAAAGCTTCCCGTAACGGTCAGATTAAAGTCGCTTCCTGGGCTAATACTTCTTTGCTATTATTGYGCTTTTCCTCTTTGTTAATATTTGGTAGAAAAATACATGCCATGATTTCAGGCTATAGCTTGGTGCGCATGGCCATGCTGGTTGATATATCATCAATGCAAAACATATTTTGATTCGCCTTCTTCTAAGGCGACTTTGATTAATAAGTTTACCAAACCAAAAAATTCCCAGGGGTTGAGCTGAGGGGTGCAGTCCTTTAATATAGGYGTAGGGGGTACACCACAAAGACCATAACAAAGGAGAAACAAAATATTTAGCTAACACGGGTGCTTCAGGAGAGGATTCAGACAATTCAAAAGAACCTTGTAGACTATGGTCACTATTGGTTTAAATTATATACATATCATATTGGCTGAAAAGTCATGGAATTGAAAACTTGTTTTCAAAGGCACTTGAAAAACCCTTGAAAATCTGGAAAAACGTTAAAACTCCTGGAAACAATTGTTTTGACTTGGTAATGCAAAGACCGTTAAACAAACTGTAGCCAGAAACGCCCATCGAATGAGATCTGACAAAACGACTCCTGAAAAGTGATTTTATGTGCTTAAAACTGTACTTGAAAAGCAGTCTTGGAATTTGTGATCTCGTAAGATTCAGATCTGATTTCTACAGTATGCCTGGACGCCTTGATGCTGCTTTTCGTAATCCCTTTAAGGTTCTGTAAATTTTCCACTATTAAGARCCTGTGAATTCTCTGTAATTCTTTTAATAACATGCTATGTAAATCTCTATTCGCATGCTTTTTACATGCTCAGATTATTCTTTCATGGGCTGAACAACCGTTAGAAACTCGACAGTACGTCTTGTTCTATTCCCTAACCTATACATTCAATCGCAAGTTACTGTGCTACTTTTATTGTACTTAGAACCGCTTTGTACTACTATTGAAACAAGAATCGTCTATTGGATGCGTCAATGGTTTATTGGAAGTAGATGCAGGTGTACTTTGTCTGCTACATGGGATATCACCTGTATTTACAATGACAGTCGGCATGAAACCCATCTACAATTCCTGTTTATCTAAAGTCTTATCCTGTAGACAATTGAACAGCTTCTATACTGTGAGCGTGGCTCGCTGCGAGATTTCTAGACTGTACTGACGTTCAAATTTATCGCCCAACAACGGAAATGGCTCTGATATTCATTTTGACAATTATCACGCGGAACTTTGATGGTTTTTGTAAAAGCTTGGTTAAGCAACTATTTAATCATGTTGGTATATTTGATCAAATTCAATTTCAAAATCGCGATCAGGTTTAAAACACTATTGAGATGCGAACAAGTGCACTTCGTACTTCAGGAAAACAACAAGTCTTAAAAAAACATAAAAAATATACATAGTACAAATCATTTGTGTAGCCTTGTAACTCAGTATAGCCTTTTTTTGAATAATTCATGGGACTCTTTATATTGCGCAGTTATTATTGCTTACTTTCTCAATATCTCATTGTCGGTTATGAGTGATTTTTGACGTTTTTAATTCTTTTTCTGTCAGTTTTGTGGGTCTTATTGCTTCGTACCTAATAACAAGCTTTGAAATTAAGCCAGATAATTATAATTGTCATTTCTTTGACATATATAAAGCCCGCACGAAGGAATATTGTGCTAATATTCATGTATAGGTCATATAATTTCATATGATTCCCGGGGAATGCCATACACTTCCACGAACGCGTCGTTTTGATTGGCTAAWTATGACCATCACGCTTTGAATATGAAAYGCTGGCGATCTTAAGTAAACAGAAGTATTAAATGAAGCTTATTTTCGTCATTCATAAGACTAATTATATAGGAAAGAATTCATCAAAGTTTATGAAGCTGCTAAAAATACTGCCGCTTGCTATCCAACTTAACAAAGTACAAATATCAAAAGRGACAGAGTAATTTTGCAAGATTCTTTAATCCTAACATACTGGGTGTTTGCATAAGACTTAGTAAACAGAAATGTAAAGACAAGCTGTTAAGTAGGTTAAGAAGTTTCTAAGGACCCGGTGCTTAAAGTCCGACTTAAATACCCCCTACATCTCACATAAGTATTGCTCACAAATCCACYGTCAAAGCGAGATCCCGTCCTTTACATGGTTTTCTTGTCTGCCTCCGTATAAATTTAATCCCTAGTTTATATGCGATTTCGACTTWGTTGTCAGACTATACCGGGTTCCTAGGAACGTATCTCCCGTGTTACATAAGAATATTTCATAACAAAACAGTAAACGTTACGCAAAAACACCTTTGTACACAACTTCTATTGTTTGTTGTTTAAAGTATTTCCGTTAAATCCAGAATAAAACGTAACACCTATAAGCGTATTCGAAGAAACAAACAGTAACGACAACAAGCGCGCTTTTTGGATTATTTAAAGATCAAATTCGATTTAATAAGACAAAACATGTACAAACTTCAATCTATTGTTTAAGTTGGTTTTAGTGTAATGAATATATTTATTTCGCTCCACAGTATTCTTTTCAAATAGACTTCTCACTAGCAAAATATTATGATTTGGTCACGAATTYTTATGATTTTGACTTTAAACCCCCGTTAGGATCTCCATTGCGGTACTATCATGCC